AACACATTCCTTTTGGTAAATGCATGAACAATACACACACACATATTCACACTAGCAGCATGGCCTGTCATTGCCCGTGCTTGATTCAAAAATCGTACAACTCATACAGCAATCGCTATCACTTGATTTAAAATATTTTTGCCCTTCCTTGCCTTTAAAGGAGTGCTCTTTGCCTAGCTGATGTTGCTACATGCCTTACTTCTTGCCTATTTCATACTGTGTATTTTTTCTAAGCTCTATACTAAACATTAAATCTGTTACGAAAAAAGAACTAAACAAAATGAACACAAAACGATCAAGTTTAAAAAAGGACTCGTAACTGGAAAAACCTAATGAAAAAAGAATGTTAACAACAAATACTTTTTCCCACCCAACCCAGTTCTGCAGAATAAGAATCAATGTTGAGTTTAAGCAAGCGAATGAACCAATTGGAGTAAAGTGCCATGCAGATTTAAATTTTTCCCACTTGTGACGAATGCAGCCATCGATTTTTTTTTGCATGCTAGCATGCTAGTTAACATTCATGTCAGTCAGCTGTTGGCTCTCACACTGGCCAATAGAATCTTCCTGCCTATTCGTAGCAGCCAGCTATAGGCTCTCACTCTGGCCAATAGAAAATGGCCACAAACTACATGAAAACTGCTATAGAAGCATGAAAAAATCGATTATTTCCACTATTGATGGGAGTTGGGAAATGCTAAGTCAGTCTTAGCCTTCCTGCTAACTTGGAGCATGTGCATGTAAATTTTGGTGCAAATCTGTCGAAAATTGCGGCCGTGTATTCATTACACACACACACACACACACACACACACACCCTACTTTTTATAGATAGAGATTCATTCACTACACATACTTTTCACCCAAAAAGTTTTCACATTCATTTGTTATACACATTATTATCTATGTCGCTTGTATACCTTTGTTAATACATTATCATTTGTTTGTACATATATTTTGGTTCTTGTCATTTCTTTATATTTATTTACATGGACTCATATCTCAAGTCTGTCATGTTTGTTGTGGGCATTTCAGGAGACACACATGTTTATTTCTCAACTCATACGCTGGCCTGCAACAAATCCTAAGAGAACCAGAATTCCTATTGGAATTTATTATTGGTAGACACAATCTTGATAACATAAGATATACAGATGACACTGTGTTGTCAACAGACACAGAAAGGAAACTTCAGAAACCTGTAGATTATATAGTAAAGAAAAGTGAGAAGAAAGGACTAACAATCAATTATAAGAAGACAAAATGTGTGGCCATTAGCAAAAGGGACAGCCTGCAGTGTGAGCTATAGATTGGAGATGTTAGAATCAAGAAAATACAGTATTTTAACTATTTGTGAATTATTATAACAAATGATGGAAAATGTAGTACAGAAACCTGAAGGTGCATTGGGATAGCAACAGATGCTTTCTAAAAGCTAAATAAAATATCAAGAGACAACAAAATTTCATAAGTAAAAAAGAGAAGCATGCTAAATTACTATATAATATCAATCCTCCTTTATGGCAGTGAATACTGATTTGATTGATTGATTTGTTTTTTACAGCTTATCAACCTTATGCAAGTTATTTAAAGCCATAAGATATTTTTATATTGTTTTTTTAGCTAGGTGGAGAAAAGGAGGATTCTTACCATTCCCAATAGTATTTGCACAAAAGTGAATATAACAAACCTGACTTTAATTACAACTTGGCTCTCCAATTTCTAATTCTGAGTCATTATCCATTATGCCACATGCACATCCAAGCTTACAGCACCTGATCTTCCCAAGTGGACACTCATCTAGACACTGACCAAGCTTGGAATTGCTTAACTTCAGTGATCATACAAGATGAACAACTAATAATAGCATAAATAATATTATATAAGGATGCAATAATCTCAGTGAATAAGGAAAAACATGCTAAGTCCTGTACTAAACATCATCTGTTAAATCCCTAAATTTATAAATTAAAACTGTTTTTTCAGTTTATTGCACATTGATTATGGAATAAAATAGATGCTGAAACAGGAATGAGATGTGTTATTTTGTATATTTAAATTCACGACAACAGAAGAATTGAGAAGAAAAATATCAAAAATGAAAGAAGCAGACAAGAAATAAAGTTTTGATTAAGATGTTCAATATTACAAGTTTAAAAGGTGAAAGGAATGCTTTGCAATTTGGAAAGGTCAGTCAACAAAATCTATGTATTTCCTTTTTTTTTTTTTTACTACTTCTCAGAAATTCCATTCTGTTATTTTTAATTTGACAAATTGTCATGTAGAAAGCAATTTAGGTTTTCTGTTTGCAATAATTACATGTTTGGGGTTAAATGGAGGAGACAAAGTGACGTGACAGGACAGGAACAAATAAACATCTTGAGTAGATTTACACAAACTCAGGAAAAGAGGGGAAAGGCAAAAATAAAAAATTTAAGAAAAAAGATATGATTGAAAAAAGAATTAAAAAAAGTTAAAAATAAAAAAACAAAAAATGATAAAAAATAAAAAGGAAAACAAAAGACTGTAAAAAAAACAAAGATGAAAAAGTGTCATACAGATAACAGCTTTATTCTATCACAATACATGCATTAATTCCTGAACAAAGACAATCCTTTTTATTTCTGGATTTTCAAATGCCCAAAATACAGACGTGCCAAAACATGATAAAACAAACTTTATTTAAAAAAATTTTTAAATTTGGTATTTAATCATTAACCTTTTCTTCTACCACCTTAAATAATTTGTTTGGTAGCACAGAAATTAACTAAGACAAAATAAGTGGAGTAGAGGCAAAGCCAGTGAGATAAGAAAAACAAAAATGCTGACTACATATACAAGTATGAATATAGTTTCATTTATATTTCTTTTCTCTTTGAATTTGAGGTCATAGAATATATAATTATTAGAGTAAATGATAATTTTGGCATAGAAAATGAATTCAGTAAATATAGAAAAACAGTGAGGTGATTCTGAGAGAATTAAAAGTCCTACCAGGATTCATTATTGGTGGCAAGAATCACAGTCAATATAAGATATGCAGATGACAGTGTTGATAACAGATATAAAAAGGAAATTACAATAACATTTACAGAAAGTAGTGAAGGAAAGTGAGAATAAAGGAATGAACATCAATTGCAAGAAGAATGAGTACATTAGTTGTTAGCAAGAAAATAGAACAATTTAAATATCTGGTAAATGTTTTAGCAGAAGACAGAAAGTGTGACACTGAAGTCTAAAGATACATTGGGATAGTGAAAGATGCCTTCCAAAATCTAAGCCAAGTATTAAGAAATAGAAACATTTCATTAGAAACAGATAAAAGTGTACTGAAATGTTATGTACTATCAGTCCTCTTATATGGAAGTGAATGCTGGATAATCTCCCCATAAAGGAAGAAGAGACTTGAAACAACAGAAATGCGGTTTTACAAAAGGATGCTAAGAATATCATGGACTAAACATTTAGAGAAAATGTAAACAAAAGGACACTTATATTTAATATCAGAAAGAGGTAGTTGAAATTTAATCCCTATTCTATCACCCATTTATACAAGTTTGTTAGGTAGGTTATGCGATGCTTTCCTCTGTCCCCTCTTGCCTTCAATATGCCCTGTGAGGCAAGAGGGACAAAAGAAAACAACACATGATCTACCTAATGAAATTGTGTAAATGGATGACAGAAAGGAGTTTTGGAGAAATAGTAAAATGAGATAGTTGAAATTTCTAGAGCAGATAATGAGGAAAGAAGGCTTGAAAATTTTGATGCTCACAGGACATATTGAAGACATGAAAATTTTATTTTTTATTACTGTTAGTCTTTGGTGTAATAATAAATGTTTTTTGTACATGTTCTTTTGGGACAAGTGTATTTTTAAGAAAGCCAGATGGTTTGTTGCAAAAATTGTTACATGTGTATACCTTTCTAGGTTCAACAGTTAAAAACTGCCAAAATTACTAATGATTCATTTCAAATTTGCAAAAAGGTACTTCTTTGTATTTTTTGACCAATGAGAGACATAATCTCAGTCCCTTGCGAAAACTTCCTCTTTTTTTGGAATTAATAGAATTTTGGTTAGCAGATAAGGCAAGAAAGCATTTGACATCAAAAAATGAAGGTAATTGACATCAAGGAGAGAGAAGGCATTTGACATTAAGGAGGAGAAAGCATTGTTGATGTCAAGAAGAAAGCAACAAGAAGGCACAGAGTTACAAGCCAGCTGCAGAGATCCCAAAAGAATTTTGAAGTTCACAAGTGGAAATTCTCCTGTGATTGAACAACAAAGAATGAAAGAATAATTCAAAATTTTTTCACAAAAGCCTCAATGAAGCACAAACAGTGTGAATATAAAAAAGACATTTCCGAAATAGTTAAGACACTCATAAGACAAGTAGTTTTTTTTCTAAAACCTTTGTTTATTGCCTTCTTGCATGTATTTTCTCCTTTTGTCATTTTCAAAATTGAATCCTTGCATCTTTTTCTAAATTGTAATCTTTTTTGTTTTTGATGGTTATCCTTTGTTTTGTGCAATATATCTGTAAATGTTATCCTACCTTAATTATTTATAAAGTGCACAAAAGGAAATTTTTTTGTATTTTTTCTTTTTTCTGTATACTGTAATAAATGTTTGTCCTTTAAAATTTTGTGTAATGATTTGAGTATTGATTACACCTAATACAACTATCTATTCCTACTAACTAGGTTTTTGTGTTTGGCACAAGAATTTAGATTTTACAGGAAGTTAAAATTTTTATAAGCAAGTGGGAGAGAGGAAAAGAATGCATAACCTCACTAACAAGGTTGATTAAATGGATGGTAAAACAGGGTTTAGGAAAGATAATAAAAATATAAAATTTATTAAGACATACAAAAGACAGGAAATTGTGGAGAGCCATGATCGCCAATGTCCTGAAAGGACATGGCACATGGAAGAAGAGCAGAAGAAGAAGAAGAAAAAAAATTTCTTCCGGTGATATATTGGGTAATGCAGCCAGAAGTATTTAAAATAAAAATGAATTAAGATCTGCATGAAAGAAAAAATTAAATGAAGTAAAATAAGTAAGAAAAGAAAAAAGAAGGAATAATGAGAAAGGGGAGAAGGAAAAGAAAGAGTGTATAAAGAAGAATAAAGGAGAAGGCATAATATGAAAGAAAAGAGTATGTAGAAGAAGTAAAGTATAAAAAAGAAGGTATGAGAAAGAAAAGGAGTGTGCAGAGAAGAAGTAAAGGATAAATAAAAAGATATAAAAGTAAGAGGAAAGAGAAGTAAAATGAAGAAGATATGAGAAAGCAAAAAAAAGAAGAATGTGTGGTGGAAAAAAAAGGAAAGATAAAAAGAACAAAAGTGAGAGGAAAGAGGACAAAAATGAAAGAGAAGATATAATGGAAAAGGGAGAGAGTTTGTGGAAGGATGGATAAAAGGTATAAAAGTGAGAGAAAAGAGAAGAAAAAAAGAAGAAAATGTAATGGATGAAAAGGAAGAGAGTAAAGGACAGATAAAAAATATAAAAATGTGAGGGAGTATAGTGATCAAAAGGGAAGAAAGAAAAAAGCGAGATAGAAAATGAAGAAGAAAAAAATGAATCAGAAATACCAAGAAAAAAAAAAAGCCAAAAAATGGCAAAAAGGCTAAATTTATTGCTTTTCTTTGCAGAGTGACAAGTGAAGATTCCGGCATTTGTAACCAATCATAGCAAATCATTTGACACGATAGACTCTTTCTGCCTGTTCGTATGGCTGGACAAACATGTTGGGTATAATTACAGATTGGAAAATACAGAAGGACAGATCAAATTGTAGGCAATGTCATTAATAAAGAAATTCACAATGGAAAAATGCTTCTGCCAATAGCAACACAAGTAAAACAATTTGGCAAGTGAGTTTATCATCATGAGTATATGAGGAAACTCTGAATCAGAATGAAATTGAAATTGGTTAGATGGGAAAGTGAAAAGAAAAAAATCTACAGACAATGACTTCCGTGCAGGTGACAATGATGTATTAGCTGAAATTACATACAGCACATACTGAAAAGTATATTAACACACCAATATTCTTTTACATGTACATGACAATTCAATGTGGTGTAATGGTTAGCAAACTTGACTCATTAGATCAATTATGACTGAGTAGTGAGTTTAGTCCTCACTAGTCCTCTTTACTTTTGGCTTTGTACCACATCTAAGCTTTGCTTAGTAAATTTCTATGCTTTTATGTGTACAGATTTGCATATGCCCATGCACACATATATGTATGGAACACATGATATACAAATTTATGTATTAAAACTAATAGTGAGTAATGAGTATGACAAAATTGGAAAGTCTCTCTGTTATATGTTTCCTCCTTTCAAAGATCTTCTTCAGATTAATAATGGTTTTATCAATGGAGTCTTGTTTATTCAGAAGAAGAAGAAATACAACAAATGCTGGTTACAATTTGACATCAAGAAATGCTGAAGTTGTCAGGATACTTAACTATAAATTTAAATTTTTACATTGGATGTCAAACATTGAAAAATTAAAATTTAAAGCTAAGCATCCCTCTATCATGAATTGTAACTAAAATGTAACCAGTTGTTGCTGTATTTCTTTCCCCACCTATATATATAAGATTATCAATAAACCATTATTAATAATGAGAGGTTTTCATTTTTTTTTTTTTTCCTAAAGGAATCCTTTTCAGCCAACACTTTTTCAAAGGTAACCATTGACACAAATCTGATGAAACAAGGGATAATATTTGCCAAAAAAAATATATTAAATGAGGAGGGGAACTTTGAAACACAATGAAAACAATAGTAAACAATTTGCAATTAAAATAAGTGATAAAAAGTTCCAACAGAGTGTAAAAGGGAAAAATTCACACTCTTAAGCCTCCAAACAAACAGAGAGCAAATGAAATGTGCTTTCTGCTTGCACAGATCCGATTGATGTAACTTAATATACACAAACTCACAAGTGGTGAGCAGACCAGGCTCTGTGCAAAAACAATGAAAACACTACCTACATATTTGATGGCACAGTCGGGATTATCAAGTAGATGTTGGCTAATTGCCAAATCATGTGCAGACTGAGTTGTCTTGGAAGAAGAAAGACTCAGATTGCCTGATTTTATATTGGCCGGAACATGTTGAAACATATGGGTCTCCAACTCAGACTAGTCCATCCTATGTATTCAGCATCACGCTGACATTTGTACTTATATATGACAGAACTACAGTAAAAGTAGGACAGATGATCTTTAACAAAAGATGAAAACACTGAATTGGTCTTAAAAACAACCTGTAACTTGACAGTAGAAAAAAACTGGTGTTATGCAAGCTGACACTCTGTCTGCAAGCTTTTGACTTTTCCATGGCAGTTTCAATTAAATAGGACAAAGATTGGGACCAAAAACTACTACTTTTTATTGATTTTATTTTTATCATTGTTGTTTCTAATTAAACTACTTCATATTAAGAGTCATTTTTGCAAGGAAGAAATATATGACCTATGATCTTGAGCATTACTTTATCATAGATGATTTTAAAATTAGTGCACTTTTAATATAATCTTCACCTTAATAAATTGCTTTCTCTTTCAATCAAAGCTGTGTTTTTTAAATCAAACCTATTACAATGAATGATTTTTCTCCTTTTTATGTATAAGAATAATTCCATCAATAAAATTATTATAAGTCTGAAAGTTCCTTCTTGGAACAAAACATGTCACTAAGTTTTTGCCATTTTGTCTTTCCACTTACCCTCTGATATATATATATTATTTTTATATCATATATATATATATATATATATATATATATATATATGATAAAATATAGTTTTAAGGTATGTTATATTTATGTGTTAAAGTGATCAATATAAGGGATAGAGTGTATATAAATATAAAAGTAAATGTTGATATCAACGCCAGAGGTAACAATCTGTTTCATGCTAAACACAATCGTCAGGCCTCTGGATGTTGACTTCAATGTCCACTTATATATGGAATAACAGTATATAACTTTTATGTAAATTGTTTTTATATATCAAGAAAAGTTTTGAAAGAAAAGATGTATGGCAATTTGGAAAAAGTTTTTGTGATGCATTTCATCCAGTGAACTCCTAACAGATGAAACATGTCATAAAAACTTTTTTCCAAATTGTCATATATATTTTCCTTCAAAATATTCTTCTCTCTCTCTCTTTCTCTCTCTCTCTCTCTCTATATATATATATATACACACACACACACAAACAAACCTATTTTTATATCCACACAGATTTACACATGTCACTGCATATACATTTGCACAGAAGTGTTCATGGATTAATATATAAACAAAGTGTAAGAGGATGTCTGAATTAAAGTAACTTAATACAACTAAGAAAATCACAACTAGAAACCAAGTTCAAATTACGGTCATGGCTACTAATATCTTTTTTTTTTCTACTGTGACTCTTGTGATATCCATAAATCTAAATGTCTCCCTCATTTGTCACTTTATGTCTCAGTTACTTTGCATGCAATTGGTGAAAAGAAAGTAAAAACAATGATCACTCATACAACAATCAGATAGGTGCATACGTCTCAATTTTCAATCACCATCATATAAAGAAAAACTATATATGTGTGTGTGTGTGTGTGTGTGTGTGTGTGTGTGATAGCAATATATTTTTGCATATCAAGAACAATAATTGGGGAAAATGTATGACAAAGTGGTAAAAGTTTACTTGTGACACATTTCATTCTTCAAGACTTCATATGACTAAATTTGTTATGTTGTACTGGAGATTTTAGAAGTTTTTAAAATTTTCTAGAATTCTTTTTTTTATATTTAACTGAATTCATTTACAGTCTTTTTGTTTTTCTTTTCAACACTTTTGTTAGTAGGGATCCCACACTGTAATAATAAAAGATCTGCCAGGAAAGGTGAAATATTGTAAGAGCCAGTGCACAAATTTACTGTAGATGATCTTGCAATCAAGGCACTCTCTAGACATTTATGTCGTAGTGAATTGATTTCACCTTTGATCAGAATAGCATTTTTTATGTCAAAATTGTGGTCAGTCTCATTATGGTGGGCAATCAATGCAGTTAATGTTTAAGTATATATATATATATATATATATATATATATATATAGTAATGGCTGGGTACTTCTATCCAAGTATGCTTGTCTACTAAGGCAGCTAACCAATCCCCATTGCAGACGTCTGCTCAGGCACATTTGTGTTTGTTCAACACCCACAGAGCCCACCTGTGGTTTATACTGCAACTATACTGAATGGACATTAGTTAAAGTTTCTGGGAGAGAGCATATTATCTGGCATGATCAACATTCTGAACAAGGCCAGTACACTCAAACTCTCAATCACGATGACTTGTGACTTTGTGCTAGAATAATTATCAATGTCTTTTAAATAGTTCCATCTAACCAATTTCGCTCACAAGGCTTCAATCAACCTATGCTGTGGTTTTCAGACACTTTCCAAATGTGCCACATGTTGGGATTACCTCTTCAGGCCGATGATATCAAGGAGTCACCTTCCTGATAAATTGACCATGGTGAGGTTCGAACCTGGATCTCACAGTTGGAAAGCAAACATTGTAACTACTCAGCCACATGCCTGTGTGTGTGCCTAGTAAGTCTCTCATATATACATAATATACAAAGACACAATAAAATACATGCTGATATTCTCTTTAGGCAACCGCTCACATATATCTGAATTCAACTGATATAAATAAATTGATCCTAAGAAAAAATTAATCTTTACATGGTTCTAAATTTGAAAGACATCTTTTCTTTAAGTAGTTGAATTAGGATTAATAGATATCACTAATCTGGCACCAGGTATAGAATCTAAGACTTAGTCTCTATTGTTACATACTAAGTGAATTAAGTGATCCTATTAACTACTGGCCTGTTACCTTCCCTATCTTTTTACTCATTTTGTCAGCACTAACTGACTAATTAGAAGTAAAACTCAAAGTCTGTACCAAGTAGAAGAACAAGTCAATTTTTTGTTAAAAAGATAAAAAAAATAATTTACATAGTGAATTTTGAACCCTGATTTATAAAACACTTGAGTAGAGATTAAATTTAATGAACAGAATGCATCTAAGCCATTTTTAGGATTCCTTAATAATCCATGTCCCTATAATAATATAAGCATAAGAGAATTGAACTGTTCTTACCTGTGTGTTGCAGCAACAGTGTTTTTAGCTTCTTACATTTCTGAACCAAAAGATTGAATGAAGAACCCTTTACACGTAGGCAGAAGTTTAATGCCAAAACTTCAAGATGGATGCAATTTGAGGCCAACATTTCCACATGGCTGTCATCAATGAAACCAATTCCATACATATTGATAATTCGCAGGTTGGGCGTATGAGCTTTGATCTTGCTAATGTTGATTACTTCATAATTCTCCTCCTCTGCATCAGATGACAATTCAAAGGTTCCTGGAATCAAAGAGAGAAAGGCTTTCAGAAGATAATTCTTTAATGTACAAATGAAAAGAAATACTTAAAATAAACAGAGATATGTAGCTTTAAATACTATGAAGAGATAAAAACAACCAGTTATAAGGAATTTGGGAACAACTAGGATCTACAATCATTAACCTGGCTCAAAAGAAAGAGACAAATTAATAAAAGAATAACAAATACAATTGATCATTTTATCATTGAGAATACCTTTCAAAAGAAGCAACAGAAAATTCTAAAGAATATATATTTTTTAAATTTTATAGAATTTTACAAGAAAATTTCTCCCTTATATTGACAACTGAATCAATACTTAGAGGAAAAAGAATAAGCAACACACTATTCAATTTTAATCTTAGTTAGATCGTTAACCTGGCTCAAGAGAAAGTGAAGAGGAAACAAAAACGGTCATTTATACTTAGAATCAGAAAAAGATGGTTGAAGTTTCTGAGATGCATCATGAATAAAAAGAGCTTGGAGAATATGATATTCACAAGACATACTGAAGGCAAGTAACCAACCTAATGTGCTTGTGTAAAACAGATAGAAGAATAGGGAATTGGATAGTAATAAGACAAATATTGCTAAGCAATACAAAGGAGAGTAAGTTGTGGAGAGCCACGATCTCCCACATCCTGAAAAGACATGGAATGAAGAACCTGATATGCAGAAACTGAAAGATACATAAGATGGAAAGCAGATAGCATTTTTGAATATAAGTTCTATTAACATGTCTTTGGGCTTTTACATTCAAATGAATTACAATGCAAATAATATTCTCTAAAAATGAATCATAAAAAGTTGCATCCATAGATGTACAATACAAATGATTTTACTATACAAAAAAATTACAATTTTCAACACTATTTGATATATTTTGAATAATTTTATAACAAAATTACATTGCATAGAAACAAATCACAATTTTATTATAGCTGTGAATTGCAAATTAAATTTTTTCTACATGCTTGCCAGGAATTATGAAGAAAACCAACTAGCATATATAATTATTCTATAAAATATTTAAGCTTAATATTCACTTAAACTTTAGCTAAATAACAATTCTTTTCAATCTGTTTTAAATGTTATAAAGATAACTAAGAGAAAGTATTTCATTCCTCCTCTCTTCAATCAGTTTGAACTGCTGTCATCTATTGCTGATAACAGAATGTTTTGGTTACATAATTCTCTTCCAATTCTACTCAAAGTTCATCAGGAGTATCTTCACCTGATTTTACACTGAGAACTGAGTCTCCACTGTGTGATATACATATAACTCCATTCATAGTTCTGACTATCTTCTCCAAAATAGATCTCCAAAAGGTAATGAAAACTTTTGATGGTATACCTGAAATTGTCCTAAAGAAATGTGCTCTTGAACTGACTCCTGTTTTCTCTAAACTCTACAACAAATGCCTTGCCTTTCTTATTTTCCAGCTTGTTGAAAATGCTCTTCTTTAGTTCCTATTTTAGTTCACCTGATTTTTCTCTCCAGATCTATCTTACATATCTATAAGGTTACCATTCATCAATATCAGGGGAACTGGACCATATGTGACAGTAGTATTCTAAGAATACTACTGTCACATATGGTCCAGTGCCCCTGATATTTACCTTGAGATCCTTGATAAGATCCAAAGAAGAATCAGCAATATTATTGGTCATGATCTGGTAACTTGGCTTCAGTCACTTTCCCACCACTGTAAGGTTGTCTCTCTGTGCCTTTTCTATAAATATTTTCATAGTAATTGTTCGGATGAGCTCTTCACTATGGTACCTAGACTGTATAAATTTAAACACAGTACTAGACTGGCATTGAGTTATCATCAATAGACAGTTGAGCTGGCTAGATGGAGCAATAAGTTCTATGCTAACAATTTCTTTTCTCGCACTTCTCACTTGTGGAAATCCCTTCTGGCTACATGCTTTCTAGTCAAGTTTAATCTACAAAAATTTAAATGCAATGTAAATCGCTATCCACTATTCTTCTGATTACTCTTTTCTATTTCCACTTATTATTAATGTTTCTGTTCCTAATTACTCCATACCCTGTAACCCCTTGTGTTTTAGTGGGTGATATTGATTATATATATATATATATATATATATATATATATATATATTTACAAGCCTACCATACATCCTTGCTTAGAATATTGCTGTCCTATATGGTCTGGTGGTGCTACTATATATTTAGAAATCCTTGATAAAATCTAAAGAAGAATCTGTAATGTCATTAGTCCTGATCTGGCATCTCAGCTTTAGTCATTTTCCCACTACTGTAATGTAGTTTCCCTGTGCCTTTTCTATAAATACTTTTGTGGTAATTGTTTGGATAAACTTTCCTTCTATGATACCTAGACTCTATGAATTGAAATGCAGTATCAGATTGGCAATAAGTTCTTGTGTCATTTTACAGTTGAAATGGCTAGATGTAACCATAAGTTCTATGCTAACTGTTTCTTTTCTCACATTTCTCACTTTTGGAACACTTTCCAGTCAACTTTGATCATCAAAAATTTAAATGCAATGTCAATCATTATCTTAATTACTGTTCCTCTACAGATCTTGCTGCTTAATAATGTTTTTCTCATATTCTTTCACACTCAGTAATCCCCTGCGTGTTAGTAGCTTTTTCCTAGCTTGGGGTGAAACGATTAAAAAAACATTGAAAAGGCATGAACTATATGAACAATAAGATTTTTGAAAGATTTTAAAAGATCTAAACTAAAAAAAAATTATAAAAATAACAGCATAAAATCTTGTTCATCAACATTAAAATATAAATAATGAAAATGACTGTAAGGAATCACTATTTGTTTATCAAAAACTGTGGTTAATTTCTTTGTTAACATTATTCTCAAAAACTTATGATTGAATGATTTGTCTTACTATTTTATAATGGAAACAAATACAACTGCACAAACTAAAACACAGAATATACAAAGGGACAAATTTAAAGGATAAGATTAATGACAAACAGACAGTTCCTTATCATTTTTTAAATCAAATATTGATTATCCATTAATAATGTTTTTAAGAAACGTTCATCCTTCCAATCCCAGGTAAGAAAATAGAATCAAAAGAAGAAAAAGAATCAGAGTTAGAATAAAAATAATGTATTTGCCTAACATTAAACATATGATTAAAGAAAACAAATTATTCACTTCAAATTATTTCAAATGCTTGCACTAAAAAAAGCAGACGATATAATGTATCAATTTGTCATGAACAGAAGGTCAAAGTGGATTAAAATAAACTTTATTTTCTGCTTGGTGATATCATTAGGTTTGTTGGGATAATTTTCCTTCTTCTTCCCTAATTAGTATGCACCATGCTTGGCCAGTCATATGATACTTAACAGCCAGTCAGCAGAACCCTGTTTTTACAGAGAGAAAGAGACAGACTATCATATACACTGGACAGTGGTTGGTGTCCCAGATTTCAGCAGCAACAGTCATTTGCAACAAGATATGCCTGACTTGTGAGTAAAGATAACCTTTTCCAACATTCACTAGTTTTCCTTTTCAGTGTTGGTGAGAAGACATGTAACACATTTCTGTACTTTGTTAACATGTTCACTTTTTGGAAAATAAAACTTAATTCATGTTCTTCTGATTTCACTCTTGCCATCTTTATTTTTTTTATTATAAATATTCTGGATAATTATCTGTTTTGACAGCCAGATTACTAACAAGACTGCCCTACATATATTTGGTAACCTAACAGGCTTAATTCTATAGTCTAGGTCAGTGGTTGTGATATATCAGCAAGTTCAAGTCCAAACAGAAAAGTAAATCCATTATAAAGCAAAGTTGTTTTTTTTTGTCACATAACCCATGAGGAAATGATTTTTGTCTCCATTTCTTGAATGATCTATAGTGATTCAATCACTGTTTCTAATAATTATCAATTTTTATGGAGCTGATGTCCAAAACACACTGCCTTCACCTACCCTGCTATTTGTTCAAAACTGGAGGAAGAAGTGGATTCATGCCTTTCTAAAGGACATTAGTGTGAAGTGAATGCAAATTGTTCCCATTAGGGTTTGAACTTTATATGCTGATCGTAATGACAAAAGTACACAGGTGTAGGCTTTAAATAAGCTTTATTCAGCTGAGAATACAAGGTTCGCATATAACATCCTTTTATAGTCCCAGTAAACAGAAATAGCTCTCTCAAAGAGGAGAGTAAAAAAACAAGGGGCGACCACTCTTGATTATTCATAACACTGATTTTATTCTTCATGTCACCCACACCTCTGAATCTATTATACTATAAAAATAATTCAAAATATTAAACAAAATTCTGAATTCCTTTACCTTTCATAGGAAGAATTATAACCCTATTTAATTTATCTGCCTAGTAGACGTTTTATTATAAATAAACTTTGATATTTAAAATACATAAATCCTTTTGTGGTACTCTAATAAAATAAACATGTTAAATTCAAAATATATAACCTCCAGGAGAGTGACTCATTGCACCTTCTTGGACTAATGTTTTCAGCTGACATGAAGTGGAAAGAGTATATTGAATCAATTTCTAAGTCTGCAGTTAAGAAAGTTGACTTACTATGGCTTTCTAAATAATCTTTCTTGCCAGAATCTAGCTTACATATTTATAAGTCTACCATTCAACCTTGCTATATATTTAGAGATTCTTGATAAAATCCAAAGATGAATCTTCAATGTTATTGGTCCTGATTTGGCATCTTAACTTCAGTCCCTTTCCCACCATAACAAAGCTTCTCTGTGCCTTTTCTATAAATATTTTCATAGTAATTGTTCTGATGAACTTTTCTCTATGGTATCTAGACTTTATGAATTTAAGTCCAGTACTAGATTGCCAGCAAGGTCTCATTATTTTACTGTTGAAATGGCTAGATGTAAGTTCTATGTTAACAGTTTCTTCTCTCACACTTCTCGCTTGTGGAACTCTCTTTAAGTTTCTGGCTTCCCAGTCAACTTTGTGTT